GAAGGAAGGAAGGAAGGAAGGAAGGAAGGAAGGAAGGAAGGAAGGAAGGAAGGAAGGAAGGAAGGAAGGAAGGAAGGAAGGAAGGAAGGAAGGAAGGACCGACCACACGACTATGTGCCTAGACATTTTACTGAGTAGCACCTACTCTCAACTGCTTTCCAGCATCACTATTAGCCATATCATGTGAATCAATTGCAAGTTCATGTATCGCAAAATGTAAGAAAAAATTTTGAAAGCAGTATCGTCATTCAAATAAAATATATAAAATGAGCAATACAAACCAAACCAATGAGCTGAGAAGAACTGAAAGCTGGTCATGACAAATAATTAGCAATAAGTTACAAGCCGTTAACTTTAGGCAAAAGGGCAAAAGTGATGAAATTATAGGAAAAAAACATCAAAAGTCAAGGGTGTTGTATTTACTTCAAATAACTTTCATAAACATGGTAAGTGCATTTTCTGTGGTAACAGCTGTAAATATGGGAATTGCTATCCTGGAGGCAATCCTTGTTAAACCACTGTTGCTCTACAATTAAAAAAACAAAAGCAGGCTAGTATTAACCTTCCAGGGAAGCTCAGCACCCCTTAAGTATTTCAAGCCCCATCTCTGACACACTGCTGCTAAAAATCTTGCCAGCAACTCCAGGAAAAGAGCAATTACTTCATGCATGCACATTTACATGGCCATGCCTTAAAACACCCCCACTGCCCGGGTCACCAGCATCTTGGCTGTATCCAGATCCAGGTCGCTACCACTGAACCTTAACACAGAACCAGCTATGACAGGGGAGAACATTTTCAAGATACCTTAGGAAGGACGGGGTATGTATAAGAAGTGAAAATGAACTCACTATGAATAAACTGTGAAAGTGGAGAAATGGAAAGCAAAAGCATAAACAAAAGGAGCTATTATTACTGTCAAAAGGCATATCATCATGCAAAAAAAAATCATGACCTGTTACACCAATTTTGTCCATATTTAATCCTTTAAAGATATGTGTGCATGTGTATGCATGTACTTGCACGTATATAGGACATTTTGACGCAACAGCGTGCTCTCTGTTGTCTGGAAAAATAATGAAGAATATGCATGTGTTGGGTGAGTAAAGGCCTGTGCTGGTGAAGGACCTCTGCCAGGCACGTGTGCATCTCTTCACAACCCTTCTCTTACTCCTAGGTCCACAGAGCCTCCTCTCTAGCAAATGTTTACAAAATCCCACCAAGATGTGGCTAAATCAGTGTGATATCCCCACCTTCGACTGTCTGTAGCAACTCTACAGATAGATAACTTGTCTCTAAATTGTTCTATTTATGAGCATAATGGACCAACATAATGGACCAATAGTATCTGGCAATTGTTTATTTCAGTCAAATTATGAACGCCTGAAGCATCGTTGATGCAG